AATACACTTAAAATAATAGTCAATTTGTTTTACTGTAAGTAAAATGGAACATGCTGGTAAGTGAGATGTATCATATGGCAAATCAACAATTTAATTCATCAGAGAGCAGAGTTATTGAATTATAATTTGAAGGTATTGAATTGTAAATTCTTTCTTCACTCTTTATCTCAAAGGAGATAGCACATGTGGATCCTACTTCCATACATTGCTCCTAGGATAAGAGGGATTTCACACTTTGTAAGAGAAAGCTGGAGAAATATCCTACAGTTGTAACAGAATCTACAAAACTGAATGTATTAATAGAACCAGTTGTGTTACAGAGTGAGGGCTATGGCTTACAAATAATACTCATAAAATAACATCACTTTGGAGTCATAACTAAATTCAAAATTATTGTAGCACTCTGAATATGAATTACATTTAGCAGCATGAACACAACATGAAGAAAAGTGAACACATTTCTGCATCAGAATAGTTCCTTTGGTTACATACTACCCCACTGATCCCTGACAACGACTGAAACCTGTTCCCATTACATCTGATGTCTGATGATTTTGCTTGCTTCAGTTCTGAACATGGCTACTTTGATAATCCATGCTTATCTTTTCCTACAGTTTCAATGTAATTCCCCATTTTATTTACAGCATTTTTCAGACAAAAGGTGTAGCGCTGAGAAAATAATTATGAACTTTGTCCACTACATTCATTTACCATGTTCAACAGCTTATAATTTTCTTACAATTCATCAACAATTAGTACATCTGGTACTAGTAACAAAATATATAGAACTGGAAAATGCCTGTACCATCTTCCTTGATCATTTGCCATACAGTAAAGTATATTTAAGCACTTGTTCATTATTAACCATGTCCCTATTGTGTAGCTACCAGAAAATAATGCAGATTAGGAAAAAGTCAAGTGATATCTTATTGAACTGACTAGCATACTAAAGAGTTCAAATCTACTTCTTCAGAATTTCTCAAGCATAACAGTTGTTACAATTTTCCAAAACCTCCCTTTTCTTACTTCTGTTTTGCTCCTTTATAGCTGCTACACAATACAAAAAATTATCCATGCATTCTTTAAACTAAATATTATGCCATAATCAGGAATTTAATAATGCACTTACAATAAAACCAGTCATAGGGCAAACAAAAGTCACTTTACTGAAATATATTTTAATTAGTCTAAACTTTGGATAAGTAAGAGAAAAACTCAATGACATGATGCCTGGCAAAGGTACATGGTCCTGTATTGTTTTAGCTTTGCTACATCAAATTTAGATTACTCTTGGATGGGGGGTACTTTAGTGGTAAACATACTAAGACTACAATGTGTTTATACTACTACTTTTAGACATTTTAACAAATTAGAAACAATAATGACCATCTTCTGGATGATCAGTATTGGAGGGAACTGTCGTGGTGAAATATTAAAAAGACCATATCAGTATCCATAACAGACAAATCAATGATTCAGCTCAGTACTATTAAGACTAATGAAAGTCTACTGCACCTCTTAGTATCACTATTCAAAAACTCTCCTATATGTCATAATACTCTATATCACACACACAAAGTTTACAGTAATAAGATTTATACTACAATTTCAGTCATAAGAACCATTCACACTTTATAAAAATACAAATCCATATGAAGGATATGTTTAATCAAGACCCAACATGGGAGGTCTAATGCCACTGTTTTCAGACAAGGTACTATAAAAGTGTGATCATACTCTGACAGCCAAAGGTGGCTAAACAAGAAGAGAAGGTGTGGGCTTCTTTCCCGGCCAGGCTTCCTTGGCATACTTCTTCTTCTTGGGCTCGTCGGGATCAACAGCCACCTGGAGATGTGCGGGCACCTCTGGGGCCACTGGTTCGGGAGGAGCCAGTTCAACCTAGAAGACATAAGAACAATTAGCATGTGCTGAACCTGACAAGCATTTTTATCATTCAATTTTTTTTCCATAACTTTACTGAAGTTCTAACAAAAATCTAGGTCTTTATCTATATATGAATGTTAAATCAAATCATAACTCGTCATCATGTAAAGCAACTAAAGCAACTAATATGTTAATAACTTGTAAAAAAATTTAAAATGTTCAGAAAACAAAATAACAATAATAATAAAGAAAAAAGAAAAGAAAATACCACCTAAGAGCCTCACCATATCAACACTGACCTCTGGAGCAGGGTTTGGAAGAGGCAAACCGAGCTTGGAAGACAGTAGAGAAGAGAACATGGAGTGATGTGACCCCCCGTGCCCGTGCTGCTCTGGAGGAAGGTCCCCGTACAGATTATCATTTCGCTGAAACTGCATCATACCTCTACTTAACCCTTCGTCACGTCCACTGCTGCTGGAAACGAGACCGCCGATGTCCAGTCTTCTTTTCTGTGAAGTGAGAGAGAATTTTGTGTTTCCATGGGAAACAATAGTAAACAGAGGAATAAAACTTAAAAGTTATTCACAAGCCTGTGGTTATAATAAGTCAATATTCCACCATATCTGATATCATTCTGTGAATATCACATTGATATGTAATTTACAAAGATTCTATGATGAGAAATATGTGAAATAGCTTTTATATTGGTCTAAGACTTACTTTTGAAGGCACCACTGTTGTTTGGACCAGGTTTCTAAATCTTCCAACACTTGGAATTGAAACTGCATCATACCTCTACTTAACCCCTCGTCGCGTCCACTGCTGCTGGAAACGAGACCGCCGATGTCCAGTCTTCTTTTCTGTGAAGTGAGAGAGAATTTTGTGTTTCCATGGGAAACAATAGTAAACAGAGGAATATAACTTAAAAGTTATTCACAAGCCTGTGGTTATAATAAGTCAATATTCCACCATATCTGATATCATTCTGTGAATATCACATTGATATGTAATTTACAAAGATTCTATGATGAGAAATATGTGAAATATCTTTTATATTGGTCTAAGACTTACTTTTGAAGGCACCACTGTTGTTTGGACCAGGTTTCTAAATCTTCCAACACTTGGATCAACATCTTCAGGGTTTATCACATCCTCTTCATCTTTAAAACTGACATTAAATTTGTGCCGTTTACGACCTCTCTGTTTGGGTTCGTCCTCCCCAATGCCCAACATTGATATACGTCTATTATGCGCAGTATTAAATTCTGTGAGATTCTGAAAGAAAATAATTGTCCATGATTTTTTCCTTGCAGTTTCCCTTATAAACATAAAAAAGCATCATCTTATCAGTTATCAAAATTGAAAATGATGGTGTACCTTTAATCTAAACATCTTAGAGGAACCGAGAAGATTTTGTATGTACTTGTAAACCTGCTGGTTGTTTTCATGGCTTTTTTTTGGCTTATTACGGTCTTTCCAATACAGCCATGTAATATTCTAATCCAGAAAAAGCTGTACTGTATAGCATAGACTCATAAAATACTTGAATGTTTTTGGTTAACAGCTAGATTACATACTCCTCTACCTTTACCAACTCACCACTCTTTTTGTCTCTCTACCACCCACACATAACTCAAAAGTAAATAAATTTGCTTTCATGTGATCGAACCCTCGTTATGGTGGTGCAACTCAGGAGTGACTCTGGCAGAGATTTTCACAATAATGTGACTATTTAGTGTAATCTTCATTATTAAAACAACTTGTTCAAAACCTTCTTATAATAATACCTCTTACTGCTGGGCCACACCTATAGCCGTCATAATAAACCAACTGATTACGATGAGTGTGGCTGTAGGCGTCAAGATATGCTATAGTGAGTTAAGTGGGAAGTTCCACTATACGTAGCGGAATCCTGGGCCAAACGGCAAGATGGTTGCCAGAAATCACTGGAATCAGTGACACCGAGAGATTTCTGATACCGTCACTGAGGGTTTACATGAATGCCCATTACCCTCTCTAGTACTTCTAATTTCAGTATGTGGGGAATTGCATTTAGTGACTCATGGAGTGTGGCTTGGTAAAGATGGGGTTAAAAGCCATAACCAAGGCTATAGCAAAAATGGTAAATACACGTGCACTGCTTTACTTACATCCAATTCTGTTTCAGTTTCTGGCAAACCCAGCAAACCTCCATCGCTGTCTTCAGTCATTCTCTCTAGCTCTTCCATTACTGGCTTTGGTGCTGTCTGTGGTCTTTCACGCAGAGTGTACATTCTCGTTGAAGCTCCAAAATGGAAGGTGGAGTTTACTGGAAGCTGCGTTGGCTTGTTGCCTTCCAATCGGATATTTCCTATGTATGTTCCATGAGCTAGAAACAGATGAAAAGTAGGTTCAGTATATTTTTAGTATGCAAAATGCTATAAAAAATATGGCAAATAAAATTAGAAAACAAACACATAATACTGAACAAGACAGAGAAATAAAAAAATGAGTTTCTAGGATTTCTTAGATTATATAAAGCTAAAAGACAATAAAAGCTACTGTTGGATTTTGTTCCTTTAATACGTCTTCAGGTACACGCAGTTGGATGGAGCTGCAGTTTGCTTGTGTGTACGGCTGGAGTAGTTAATCTGAGATAGAAATCAGTACTGGACCTTGCTTGCTGGCTTTTGCGTGCAAAGTATCCAGTATCTCCAGGTCCTAGTTGCAAATAGGTCAAGAAGCTGCCACAAGTTTGAGAACCAGGGACATGTGTATGCAGTCCAAGCTGTGAGCTGTGAGGGGTTTGTCAGGATTCAGCACTGTGTCACAAGTTGTGGTTGCTGCCAAATAATCAACAATGGCTGTTGTGCAGGCTGGGGCTAGAGTGCTACAGTGCTTCTCCCCAGTAAATGAGCCAGGTGAATGAGTGATCTGGTAGGAATGGAATATGTTTCTTTATTAAGCCTTAAGGGTACAAGGAGTTGATAAGGCTGCAGATAGTGCCTGTGTATGACTGGACTGCTTGACTGGTGATCTGGAGGTACTTTTCAGAGTCAGCTGGCTTCACAGTAGGAGGATGTCTGAGATTAACCTGGATTGCTGGCTGCTGGTTATGGCGTCATAAATCTCCAGATTCTGACTGTTATCTTAATAACAACAGATTTTTCCTGCATCATATCAGGTACACACAGTCAACCACTCGACAAGAAAAAAATAGACACAAGGAAATATATATTTACCCTGCTTTCTATGCTTTTGGCTGCAGCATATATTATGTTACGGTGTTTTGTCCCAACTAAGGTTACCCTCCCAAAATTATATTTGAACTACCATTTCAGTTTTCTTGAGAAAGTGTTTATTGCATTATTCTGAATGGATGCTCTGAAAAATGTTGAAAAACAATGTAGCAGTTCACATACACATGCAGCAGTTAGAGGAAGGGTACTACAATGAGTCAAATATAAATATACCAAAACAGAGGCTTATTTCTAAACGGTGATGTTCTTTGTATGTATTCAGATAAATATAAAATAATTTACCAGTAAATCAATAATTTATCCTGATCTTTATATCTGATATTCACTATTCACTAATAATCACAAATGCCTAACACACATTCACATACATCACACAGTCACTGTCATTCCATCTTTGTTATCTTATTCCATACACTCTCCAATCATTCTTTATTTGTAAGCATGCACACAAACACATGCATATGCTAACAAGTATGTAAAAAATAATAATAATAACAACAGTAGCAATAGCAAGTTATAATAATAGTAATAATAATAATAATAATAATAATAATAATAATAATAATAATAATAATAATAATAATAATAATAATAATGATAATGATAATGATAATATGTAAACCTATTAAGAACTTACTGCTTCCAAGGTCAACTAGGAAGGCCATGTTGAGATGTTTATGATAAACGAGGGAACAGTGCACTCTCGAGCAGGATGCATGATCAATGCAAAAGTCATTTAGTTGGGGATTTCTACCAAAGAGATAACACTTCTTCTCATCAATCATCAGTTTCTGAAAAAGAAGTTAACATAAATGTACATATGATCACAGATACATGTATATGTATATACACATATATAAGTGTGAATAAGTATATACATATACCATAAACACTAGACAGTCTTTTGAGTCTGAATGTATCAAACATCAAACTTATAACATATGTAAGATTTCTCTGCAAAAAGATATCTTACATCTATCATCAGTGAACTACATATTACCAATTTTTTTCAAGCAGAACACCATACAAATCTACTAATATATGCAAGTCATGAATCATCTATAAGTTAAAATAATAGTTTCTACCATTCAGGCTGACCTACGGAAACTAACTCTCCTCTCCTATGAGCAAACCATAGATCTTTGACAGAAAAATGCTGTAATGTAGCTTATTAATCTCCATGAATAATCATAATATGGTTCTTTCCAAATTAGTACTAACTTTGATTGACTTCTTCAAGTTCACTACAGATCAATAATAATACAGACATTTGATAAAGCAAGTTTTACAGTAGAGTCCTTTAGTCCTTGCATCAACTGTCATTAAGGGCTTTCCACTCTCTACTATCTATTTGTATGAAGTGCACTGTAGTCAAGCAACCCTTCAAAATCTGAACAAGAGGACTCTCACTTACAAAGATGAAGTGACTATAATAATTTTAGAGAGCTGAACATTCATGAATATGATAAATGTACCTAAAGTCTAAGGTTAATGAATAATAAATGTTAATTAATGTTATTACTATCACCACAGAAACATAACTACAAAAGAAAACTTGTAAATCATGTTAACTTCTTGCAGACAGGTAGTGTCAGTTACCACTTTATCCTCAAAGCCTACTCCAAATAAGATCAAGTAATGATAAATATAAACATTCCTGGTTTTTCCTAATCATTACTACCTTTATAGTACAAAATATAGTTTCTTGGAATGTATACCAATTGAAAATGTGCTCATTTGTGGGAGTTACATGGTTATCTATAGTTCCTCCATGAGTGGTTATCAAATATTCATTGTTTTTGATAATATCAAATTACCATAATCAATGAAACAATAAGTCATATTATGCCAGATTAAAAATACTTTTTTGAAGTATATTTCAACATGTCAAGCATACTATGAATTATTGCTTCAAAAAATCTATTGACACACACACATACACTTCTCTGATGAAGCATGATTTTTTTTTTCTGAGTTACTGTGCAATGTCCAAGTACTCAGTTCTAAGTGCAATATTTGATAAACATCTACAATGCTTGTATTGTTTTCTCTCTTTATTTCAAAGAGACTCTACTATGACATGTTTGATAAGATAACATACCTGTATAAGCTTGTCTCCTTTTGCAACATCTAAGTGCAAGCCCACAGGTGGTTTTCCTGCCCTGAAATGTATAAAAGGAGATATAATACATAACTTTGATTATTTTCTTATATCTTGAGCTCTGGTGGATAAGCACCATTGTAATTCAATAAATCATCATATGGCAACAGCTTTGAAATATGTAAATAATTATATGTACGTCTTCCTATACTTTGGTAGAATAGCCCAAAATGCACAAACAAAACTTATCTAAAATGAGACAACAGATTTGAAATCCTCCTTATAATTATAAATACCACATTAGGGTAATTTCTGGAACCTGTCCACAATTCAAAATTCATTGATTTTGGTATCGATGAATTCCTCAAAATGTCTAGTGTATATATAAAGTGGTTTAAGTTGGTGCTAAATAGTAACAGCGACAATATACGACCTGAGCTATCATTAGTCAATGGCTGGGTGACATTTATTTTTGTATTTTTATCTTTGGGCAGCTGCTATTGCCCCCAATCACAATCTGGAATGCACAATCTCCCACAATGAAAGATAGAGCCTAAAAGAAGTTTGAGTGACATGCCTCATGAGTGTCTTCAAATCCAAGCCAAGGCAGAAGAAAACGTCCCTCACCATGCACTCAGTCCTGAGTTACCGTGTATATTATGGGAGTTTTTGGATATTCATTTTAGGCTTACTGAATGATTCCACCAGCTATGTCTGCTGTCTTTGGTTAGTAGACATGGGTAGGAGTCAATTGATAATAAATTTTATTGGTTTTAACATGCAGACTGGTTCTAAAAAAATACCCATATTTTTCAATACTTATTGTAGACATACTGTCAAAATTTACCAATAATTTCTTCTACATCTCTGTCGGTATATATATTTTGATTTGAAATGACCTATTCTGTTTTAAAGCTTATATATTGATACCATAAACCATTGGATTTAAATGACAGGATCATCCTGTGATGAGAGAACTTGAGGGACAGGTGACGGGAATGTGCCATCATGGAAAATCTGCATGAAGGTTGGGGCGACAGGACTGACTCGCCATGAGTACGTAAACCTCTTGTGGTGGACATTTAGAAAGGAGCACTAGCATTATTTCCAATCTATTATCCTTGAGCAATACCTAGAAGAGTATCAGTTCCAGGGAAGACACAACTTCCATGCTCAGGCTCCAATGCCTGCCTGCCACAACCAGAGGCACCCAGTGTTACAGAAAATTTAATAGTATGGATGTATGATGAAATGTTACTTATTGGTACTTATAGAGATATAAATAGGAGTCTGCTCAAGGAAAACAGCCAGCAGATCACACAACAAAAATAGACCTTAGAAAAGAAGACAAAAAATGCTTATTCTGAAAAAAAAGACAAAACATAACATTGTAAAGGGGAGGCAAAGAGGGCTGGGTCTACAAGGCACACATCTGGGAGAGTTGAAACTCAAGTAGGCCTAATGCCCAGATCCAGAAGCATCCAGATCCAATGGGTTAATATAGGTTAATTTAATTTTTAAGAATGTTATAACTGCATAACAATATCTAGTTGTCTGGATGATCACAGACTATGTATCCTAACTGTCTAGAAATTTTTTTAAAGGATCTGCCGGAGAATGCTCTAGATCTGGCTCGTTCATTTCCTAGACAGCAGGTTTAGTACAGCATGTCCAGGCATGGCTAAAAGGGGCAAGAATCCTTGACTTAAGTCCGGTCTCAGTATAAGTTAAGACTAATGAAACACTGATTAAGGAAAGCAGAATCGTAGTTTATGTCTCTGCTATGTACATTATGGTAACACACTCAAAGTATAACTACAATTGCTTAGTTATAAAACATACATCTGTGGTTTCTTTCGTGACTTTTCTTGTATCTTACGTGATATTCGCCACATAAATATCGACAGAAAAGGCAGAATCACACCAACCATTAAATAAACACCGTAAAATAAACCAGATATATATTTCCAACAAAATAATAGTAAATACACTTATCATTATCATGGTTTCTAACAAACACAAATTAAATAACTCTGAAGATATAGAATTTTATGAATCACCTAATCAATCCACAAATATAGACTTGTTTATAGGCCTATCAAGCCATCCAAAAATTTTAGTCTTAGGCCTTAGCTTAATATACGGTTTCTAGCGATAATAGAGGCCGACCCATGTTATTTCTAGACTATTCGGACCTTCAATTAGTTTAAAAGCTGAGCAATAATATGTTTTAATCCTTTAAACGTGAAAATAAAGAAAGAAAACTATTTACCACTTCGGAATTTCGTAGTGGTTCGCCATCTTTGTTTACAGAGACT